CCGCCTCCTGCGCCGCCGCCCTGCCGGGGCGGAGGAAGCTCCCGGGAAAACGCGCCTTCGCCTTCCCAGACGTGCGATGGCAGGATCCCTCCTTCTGCGCCGTGTTAGATACGGATCTCACCTCCCTGGGACAAACGGTGATCGTTTTCAATTTTCAGCTGCCTAAAAAATTAGTTTCACAAGTGTCATGAGGGAAACGGTCACTGCTCAGAGGGAGCGTTTCCCCATGACAACATTACACAGAAACACGGAGATAAGACACGGGAATTCGGATTTGGGGTATAACGGGCACCATCCGTTTACCACTAGGTACGGGAATTCCGCCTGTCCGTGCTGAAGTAACAGAGCTTGTAATATCTGTAGTTGGAAAGAGTTCAGAGATTCCGATATAAAACCCCTGCTGCAGCTTGCTGCGGACAAGTGACCCAAGTCAGAAATCAAAGTACAAACGCCAGTGTATTTTCAAACGACTGAGGGTCAGTTTTACATAAATCACTCTGAAAACTTTGCAAGTAAAACAAATAAACTTCTGCAAACTATACTTACCATTTTTATATGGCAGTCTCTGAAAATCTGTAAAAAAAGCAATGCTAGTTCCAATGAGATCCAGTGTAGGCAGAAACATAACACCCTTACATCTACATTTTATAGGCTCGTTTCCTAACCGAAACGCCAGGATTCCTTCTAAGAGTAATATGGGTGGAAAGGCTCGCGTTTTGCCAGTGTCACCCCAATAGCATAAACCAGCCACGGGACCTGCCCTCTGATAGATGAGTAAGGAGGACATTTTACAAGTTCCATACTGGCCCAGACCAATAGCAACAGATTTTCTGGAGCAGAACAGGAGATTAAATGTAACTGATCTTCCAGAAATAATGGACTTGTTATAAAATGGGTACAGAAGTCTTTTCCAAACGTGAAATCAATTTGGACTGAGACACTGCAAAGTTGGTTGAGGAAAATGCTTAAGAACAACTCATTTCTGTACCAAATTTGGTGCTTATGATACAAACCAAGCGCTCTGTACTTAATAATCAAGCAGAAATTATTTTTTTACATTTTCTTGCCAAATTATTTGGCACTATCTTGACATGATCTTTATGATCTATAGTAAGAGGTTACTGCTTTCCTAAGGGTGCAAAATATTTTAAGTCAGAATTCAATATGGGTGATTTTAAAATCACTCCATTAGAGCTAGGATGCACCAACAGAAATTAAAATAAGCCAAGTAAATCCATGAACAGCAGATCTTACATAATATGTTTTTTCTGTAGCTTCTTTCTGTGGAGGTTTTATAATGTCTAAATCTCCAGCTGAGCTCATGTCAGAGCCCCCTCGCAGTGGAACTGTAGGAGGGTTTGTCTCTGGACAGAGTCTTTGCCCAGAAAGCAGTCTGTCTTAAACCCACAGCAAATATTTCAAGGCTGGAATTTTTCATTCTACTCACCTGGCACTGTTGTTGCTCTTCTGGGAGGCAGTGACATGGCTGAGCTCCTCATTTTTGCCATGGATATTTATGCTTTTATCATTGCTGCCATTAGAGAGTCATCAGTCCTCCGGGTTTCTCAGGAAGACCTCATGTTCCAGATCTGAAATGTTCATGCTCTAACATCACAGATTTAATGATGTACAATGTGAGTAAACAATCTTTTTGAAGAAAATGAATGTTGGAGTAATGATTTCTTCTGTCATGTAAGGGAGCTTTTACCATATAGGCAATTCAATCCTTATTCCATTAAAACGTAGCTTTGGGGTCAATGTTCTAG